ACTTGTTTTATCACATTTATGTTTTTTTCATTCTAATTGATTTCTAATGATTGTGACCTCAGGACTTACAGTGAGGAAAACTCTTCAAGCAGAGGCAGTAGAATGTTTTAATGAAGGTTACAATCAGGGCCCGGTTAAGGGTAGCAGGTGAGGCACCTGCCTAGGCCCCACAAAAAATGGGGCCCAAATTTTATAATATATATATATTTTTTTTGAATATCTTACAAAAATTAAAATGGTTAATTCATCTAACCAAAGCGCCCCAAAAAAAAGCCATAAAAGCGAAATTTATTTTAAACTTTTACATATATTCTCATCCAAAGTTTACAAAATAGCAAGTTTGTACCTCTAGTTTATATAGTAGTTTATACCCTAAATAACACATTGAATCTCTTTTAACAATAAAGATTAAAATAGTCATTTACATATCTCAAATTACTCACTTCAATTCAATCCACAATTTGACATTCAAAATCATCTCCAGCCCTCTTCTGCGCAGTGGTTGGGTTGGAGTGATTTCGGTCAATTTTGGTTCCGGTCGATTTCTTACCAAAATCGATCAAAATCATCATTTATCATTTTCTAACCTTGATACCCTCGATTTGACTAATTTTGAGAATCTCGCAACCCAACTCACCCACACGACAGCCATTTCCAGCCTTTTGGCATGACCGACATGTTGGCCTTCCCTGACACCACTTTCTCCCTCAGCCCTCTCACCAAACCCCTATATACCTTACCGTTTACTGCCAATCGACTGGACCACGTAACCTTGGGTCGACTCTCAAGCCTTTTTTATCAATCTTGGAAATCACAATTTCACCACCCAATCACGTATCCACATCTACTCTCCAAAACCCCCCACAAACCTAACCTGTTAGCTTGTCGATTGTTGTCACCTCTATAATGATTATCTCAAAAGGCCAAAAAAAAAAAAAAATGAAATATTTTTTTAATATATGCTTATATTATTGGAGGGTCCCAAAGTAACTCCTACCTAGGGTTATAAATGTCTAGAGACAGCCCTGTTATAATGCTTCTATTCTCTTGGCTTTTCAAAGTCATGTATATGATCGTGACTGGAATTTTTCATGTGAGATTTTCTTTCTTAATTTGAAAGAAATAATATTACTGGGATAGTAGGATTCCCTTTGGTTTCTTTTTAACTCTTTTTTTCTTTTAAGGTGGTACAAAGGATGATAAAGTTCTGATGGACCAGTTTCATCATGTTTCAACCGCTTTTCTGGAGCTTGAAAAGGGGTTAGTCTCTTATCCTTGCTTTAGCCTAGGAATATTTGATTTTAATAACTTCTGGAGACATGAAATGATGATATTCATACCCATTTTTCTTATTCTTTTTTCTTCCCCATCGGCCTGTTGGAATTTTCTGCATCTATTTGCATTCAGACATAATTGCAGTTTTAATTTTTGCTACAGTCCTTTAAGTAGAAATTCATATTAATGTGCAGTTATCAGAAGGTAATTGAGGATATTACTCAAAAAATGGGTGCAGGAATGGCAAAATTTATTTGCAAGAAGGTTCGTGAATCGTGTAACCTGCATCTATTGTTCTAAGATATAGTAATAATCTATATATGATGGTAGAGATGAGCTCCTTGAGCCAATTACAGAAAAAACAGATGCACCAAATGTATATTACACCAATAAATTTTATCATCATCTTGCAGGTTGAAACAATTGATGACTACGATGAGTATTGCCACTATGTAGCTGGACTTGTTGGATTAGGCTTGTCTAAGCTTTTCCATGCCTCTGGGAAGGAAGATATGGCTTTAGAAGGTCTTTCCAATTCAATGGGTGTATTTCTTCAGGTATTCATTAGATGGAGCAACAATGTGTATTTCTACAGCCTGAGTATCTGATTTGAAATGCTAAAGCTTGACTGTATGGATCTACAAATAACAGAAAGCAAATATCATTCGAGATTATCTGGAGGACATTAATGAAACACCAAAGCCGCGGATGTTTTGGCCTCATGAGATCTGGAATAAATACGTCAACAAACTAGAGGTGTATATTCTCTTTTACTTGTTTTATCACTATTTATTGTTTTATTTTTCATATCTAATCGACTTTCTTAAAATGATTTTTGCACCCTCAGGACTTACAGTATGAGGAAAACTCTGTCAAGGCAGTAGAATGTTTGAATGACATGGTTACTAATGCTTTAACACATGTGGAAGATTGTTTCAAATACATGTCTGGTTTAAGAGATCCTGTTATTTTCAGATTTTGTGCTATCCCTCAGGTAGCAAGCTTGAATATGAGACTCTGATTGATTTACTGAGTGACTGATAAAAAACCATGTTTAGTTTTTAATGAATATGAAGGTTCATAGAAAGCTTACCTTTGTTAGGTTATGGACATTGGAACATTAGCATTATGCTACAACAACATTGAAGTCTTCAGAGGTGCAGTGAAAATGAGACGTGGTAAGATTTTTTCAATCACATTATTTAAAAAAATCATTCCCTGGTGTTTTTTCTCAGTATTTTTTTAATGAATGAAGGTTCATTGTGTTGATATTTCTAGGTCTTGCTGCTAAAATAATTGACCGAACAAATAATATGTCAGATGTGTATCGTACCTTCTATGATTTCTCTTGTATGCTCAAGTCCAAGGTATATATGATCCATGCTAAACAATAAGTTAACTTGCAGTCACTATGGGCAATGACCATGATTAGCTAATCCGATGGTTTTTCCCACATAGATAATAGCTTAATGACATTTTCTTACCTAAAAACTTTTAAAATACTATTTTATTACCCAAATTTATGTTCTGTTTTCGATTCCAACATCGTTGTGACCCCATATCACCAATTCACCACTATTCTCTTCTTAGATCATTATTTACCAAAACCCCTCAAATCCTACCCCTGTAAACCCCTCCAGTCATTGGCCATCAAACGATTAGGGTTTGTACAGCCGTTCCTCCCAAATCAAATTCCGATAAATCCTAACCACCAAAATTAAATCTTACACCATGAAAAGACTCATTGGCCTCCTCTCTTCAAAAGCTCTAACAGTTTGAATCAAATTTTCTTTCTGTTCGTTTGTCTGAATATAAATTTGAGTAATAAAGTAGTGTTAATTACATAGTGGGAAAAAGTCATTAACTCAATCCGATGCATGTTTTCTTCGCAAACTGTTCTTACAGTTTCACTCACCAAAATATGTTGGTGGTGGCTGCAGATCAACAAGAATGATCCCAATGCAACAAAAACCTTGAACCAGATTAATGCAATTCAGAAAGTATGCATGGATTCTGGGGTTGTAAACAGAAGGTTGGTAGAAAAAATTACAGTTTATTAATATTCACATTGTATCGATTCTTCTTATGTTATTCTCTCTTACAACTCTTTATGGACTCCACCAGAAAATCTTACATAATCCAAAATGGACCAAAATACAGTTCAACAATGGTGAGTTTTTACAGAAAATTTACAACCTTACATAGTTTTTTCCAAGAATATGAACTAATTTGTTGTAAATTAAACCCAATATATAGTGAATCAGCAATAGTCCAGATTAGGAAATCAAATCATAACAATCATAATAATGAAGATAAAAGCAGTAAAAGAAAATTAGACAATAGAGACACCAATTTATAGTGGTTCGGTAATCTGAAAGATTACCTACATCCACTCTTCAAAGGCAACCAGAAAAGGTATTTTACTATGAGTTTGAGAAACCTTACAGAAGAATCGGCTCACCCCTTTTATACCAAGGCATCAACCCGATACAAACCCTCTGTTTACACACCCGTATACCCAGATGCTCTCACCACTCATACATCGCACACAAAGCAGAAAATCAGTACAGATTTATACAAAACAGTAAGGGCTATAACAGAAAAGGACAGCTCACACCTACCATCACCGTTGATTCCATGGACGGGTATGGGATTTCCAGCACAGCATCTCTAACCGTTTCTCTCTCTGTTAACCAAGAGAGAAAAGTGAGAAATGAGCTGCGTACACAAGACCTAATTCGATTTAGGTTTCGGGAATCAAGGGAAAAGACAGAACTGCCCCTTTTGTCTTAACAATTTACTTTGACCAGCCAACTCCAGATTTGACTCCTACGTGTCATATAAAAATGCCACATCACTACATAATTATACTACAATCATGCAGATTGTCTTACTTTTCGTTACACTGGCCATCATTTTCTCGTATCTCTACGCCAACTGACCAAATAATTAGTGTAAGTTCAGTTACGGATACACTTAGAAAATTTACAGTCAGGAAATAGTCTTATTTCTCCTCCTCCGTCCGGCATTTGCAGGATCGTAGTGATGTTGAACTTTTTTATGTATCTATAGATGAACTTTTTTATGATTTGATTTCTATCAACTCTCCAGACAAAATAATGCATTATTATTATTATTATTATTATTATAAACATTTAAGTAAATAAACTTAACTTATCATTCTTAATTTGTTCCACCTTTCACACATGTTGACAGTGAAAATATACAAAATTCTGATGGTACCCTTAGTTTGAAAAACCATCAAAGTTCCACCCGATCTTCAATTTCAAACGTTAAAATTAACGGTTAAAGGATATTTTTACGTCATTTTATCCCCAAAAAAATAACATAAGAAACTAAACCTAAAATCCTTTTTCTTCCCCCCACATATATAAAAACTATTAATATATACAATTTCTAGATTTTGGTTCATCTTAATAAAAATATTAACGTATAATTAGTTTTTATTTTGGCTCATCCTAATAGAAATTTATAAATCTACCCTGGATACACTATCCGCTAAATTACTTGAATTTATAATAAAGATAAAATGTTTATTTAGAGAAAAATGCTACTCCCCGAAAGCAGATTGACAGAGGAGTCATGTTAGAATTAAAGCGAGAAAGAATATGATAATTTCCCATAATAAATATTATTTTTCTCTGAATCGAAGACCAGATATAATAGTATATAATTGTTTGAAATCTCTGCATAGATTTCTCATCGAAATGGGAACTCTTCTGGTAGAGGTTTTCAGGCACCCAGATGAACTTTACCCGCTGTTGAAGCTGAAACGGGCGGCAAAAAATGCAGTGAAGCAGACCCCACCTCAGCCTCACTGGGGTTTTTGTTATACTATTCTGCACAAAGTCTCTCGTAGTTTCGCTCTCCTTATTCAGCAGCTTGATACCGATCTTAGAGACGCTGTAAGTCTTCTTCATAATATTGTTTCATGGTGTTATAATATTGACACCCCTAAGGTTTCTATGCTTCACAGGAGTCTAGAAAATATCATTAGGGCTGGCGTGACGTTAAAAGGAAGTTAATTTTTTATATTTTTCAAACGAACCCGATGAGTTTCTTTCTAGGCAATCGCCCTTCTTATTTATGGCATAAGAGAATTGCTACATTACAGGGTCTTGCTTTGTGTCACCAGTTAGAAGTTTCACACCCAAAGAGCTGATCTATTACGTGGAGGGGCTTCTTCCCTTATAAACCCAAGACCCCCCTATTTCTCTTCTGACGGCCTACCCGTCCACCTCACCTCATCCACAAGTGAACCCACAATCACATGTAAACGCTCCTTTGCGTGAGCTCTTGGCGGGATATCAAAAGACGGATTGAGATCGGTGTTCATACCATTTGTCATGGGTTAGGAGTTTTACACCCAAAATGGTAACCTATCGTGTGTTTATGCACTTTCACCTAATATATATAACCTAAAAGGCAAACCACATGTATAATATTAAAAAAAAAAAAAAAAAAAAAAAAAAAAAAAAAAAACTAAAATTGTTCCACAGGAAATCTCTGATCTATGCTTTTATTTACCATCTTAATATACAGCAAGAAAGCTTACATGCGTCCACGTTGCATGGTTTGTTTATATTGACATCTTCATTCTAATTTTCAAGTGACACAATTTGTGGTTCTGCAGGTATGCATATTTTATTTGGTTCTTCGAGCCCTTGACACCATTGGTATGTTTCTGCTGTCTTTAACCTTTTTAGACCCCATTGATTTAAATAACAAGCACTTGATAAATTTTTGTTTTTTTCCATTACAGAGGACGATACAAGCATACCTACAGAAGTGAAGGTGCCTACTCTCTTGGCTTTTCATGGTCATGTGCATGATCGTGACTGGCATTTTTCCTGTGAGTGTTCCAGTATCTTGAATCACCCTGCCTTGTTTCTACTTTTTCACACCATAATTTGAACAATCATTTGACATTAATACAGTAATTACATTGATGCTTCATGTTTCTTTACCAGCTCACTTTGCTTATTTTATTTCTTTTTTTATTTTTTCTCAAGGTGGTACAGAGGACCACAAAGTTCTGATGGACCAGCTTCATCATGTTTCAACTGCTTTTTCGGAGCTTGGAAATGGGTCATTCTCTTATCCTTGGTTTAGCCTAGGGATAATTGATTTCAATAACTTCTGTAGATTTGATGATATATGCATACCCCTTTTTATTATTCCTTTTTCTTCCTCATCTGCTTTTCATTACCATGGTAGGAATTTTCCAAAGACTTGGATTTAATTTGAAACAAGTTATATTTTAACAAAAGTTTACTGCAATTGAAGTTGCAAGTTAATTTATAGCAGTTCATACAAGAAAATATAAAGAATCTAAGATGATTCCGTTTCTTTCTGGAAAATCTCTAGGCTAGATTGATTGAATTCTAAGTCTGCAGAGGAAAATCTACATTATAAGAATTTTTTGCATCTATTTGCATTCACTTATAATTGCAGTTTGATTCTTACTATAGTTCTATAATTAGAAATTCACATTAATATGCAGTTATCAGAAGATAATTAAGGATATTACCCGAAAAATGGAATCAGTTTGGAAAAATTTTTATGGTATTACTCGATAAGATATTACTTGATGGTAGAGATGAGCTTCTTGAACCAATTACAGAAAAAACAGATGCACCAAATGTATATTACACCAATAAATTTTATCATCATCTTGCAGGTTGAAACAACTGATGAGTACGATGAGTATTGCCACTATGAAGCTGGACTTGTTGGATTAGGTCCGTCTAAGCTTTTCCATGCCTCAGGGAAGGAAGATATGGCTCCAGAACATCTTCCCAGTTCAATGGGTGTATTTCTTCAGGTATAAATGTCATTATATGAAGCAACAATGTGTTTTTCTAGTTTCTACCAGCCTCAGCTTTTGATTTGAAACGCCAATGTGTGACCATATGGATCTACAAATAACAGAAAGCACATATCATTCGAGATTTTCTGGAGGACATTAATGAAACACCAAAGCCGCGGATGTTTTGGCCTTATAAAATCTGGAATAAATACGTCAACAAACTAGAGGTGTATATTCTGTTTTACTTGTTTTATCACTATTTATTGTTTTATTTTTCATATCTAATTGATTTTCTTAAAATGATTGTTGCACCCTCAGGACTTACAGTATGAGGAAAACTCTGTCAAGGCAGTAGAATGTTTGAATGACATGGTTACTAATCAGGGCCGGTTAAGGGGTAGGCAGGTGAGGCACCTGCCTAGGCCCCAAAAAAATGGGGGCCCAAATTTTTTATATATATATATATATTTTTTTTTGAATATCTTACAAAAATTAAAATGGTTTATAATTTCTTATCTAAACCAAAGCGCCCCCAAAAAAAGCCATAAAAGCGAAATTTATTTTAAACTTTTTACATATATTCTCATCCAAAGTTTAACAAAATAGCAAGTTTGTACCTCTAGTTTTATATAGTCTAGTTTATACCCCTAAATTAACACATTGAATCTCTTTTAACAATAAAAGATTAAAATAGTCATTTACATATCTCAAATTACTCACCTTCAATTCAATCCCAAAATTTGACATTCACATAAATCATCTCCAGCCCTCTTCTGCCGCCAGTGGTTTGGAGTTGATTTCGGTCAATTTTGGTTCCGGTCGATTTTCTTACCAAAATCGATCAAAATCATCATTTTATCATTTTCTAACCTTGATAGCCCTCGATTTGACTAATTTTTGATGAATCTCGCAACCCAACTCCACCACACGACAGCCATTTCCAGCCTTTTTGGCATGTACCCGACATTGTTGGCCTTCCCTGACACCACCTTCTTCCTCCCCTCAGCCCTCTCACCAAAACCCCTATCATACCTTATCCGTTTACTCTGCCAATCGCCGGCCATCGATACCTTTTGGGTCGTGACTTCTCAAGCCTTTTCTTATCAATCTTGGAAATCACCAATTTCACCACCCATCACTTATCCAACATCTACTCTCCAAAACCCCCCACCAACCTAACCTTGTTAGCTTGTCGATTGTTGTTCACCTCTCCTAATGATTTTTCATCTCAAAAGGCCAAAAAAAAAAAAAATGAAATAATTTTTTTAATATATGCTTATATTATTGGAGGGTCCCAAAGTAACTCCTACCTAGGGTTATAAATGTTCTAGAGACAGCCCTGTTACTAATGCTTTAACACATGTGGAAGATTGTTTCAAATACATGACTGGTTTAAGAGATCCTGTTATTTTCAGATTTTGTGCTATCCCTCAGGTAGCAAGCTTGAATATGAGACTGTGATTGATTTACTGAGTGACTGATAAAAAACCATGTTTAGTTTTTAATGAATATGAAGGTTCATAGAAAGCTTACCTTTGTCAGGTTATGGACATTGGAACATTAGCATTATGCTACAACAACATTGAAGTCTTCAGAGGTGCAGTGAAAATGAGACGTGGTAAAGATTTTTTCAATCACATTATTTATTAAAATCATTCCCTGGTGTTTTTTCTCAGTATTTTTTTAATCACATTATATTTTTTAAGAAAAATATAGCGTTTATAGCCTAATCTCATAACCTTCTCTTATAATCCTAACGTGTTAACAGATTGGTACTGTCACATCAACTCCTACTATACCCAAGATACCAAAGACACTACTGAAAATGAATGGTTTTTCCTTATAAAGGAATAGTCATTTCTTCGTAAAGAATGATTGTCTTTAAGGAACAACCATTTATAGTCATTCATTTTATAATAAATAGTTGTTCCCTTATTATGAACGTCCATTAGAGATGATTGTTCTTTATTTATGAACGGTTGTTCCTTCATAAAGAATAATTATTCCTTCATAATCAAAATCATTTTGACGTGATAATACCAACTTAGCTACCACGTCGAGGGTTATAAGAGAAGTTTGTGAGAAAAGGTTATTGGCTTAACATTACTCATTTTTTTAATAAATAAAGGTTCATTGTGTTGATTGTTGATGTTTCTAGGTCTCTCTGCTAAAATCATTGACCGAACAAATATTATGTCAGATTTGCATGGTGCCTTCTATGATTTCTCTTGTATGCTCAAGTCCAAGGTATGATCCGATGCATGTTTTCTTTGCAAACTTTTCTCATGTTTTCAGTACTCACCAAAATATGTTGGTGGTGGGCTGTAGATCAACAAGAATGATCCCAATGCAACAAAAACCTTGAACCAGATTAATGCAATTCAGAAAGTATGCATGGATTCTGGGGTCGTAAACAGAAGGTTGGTAGAAAAAATTACAGTTATATTCACCTTGAATCGAATTTTCTTATGTTCTTCTCTCTTACAACTCTCATGGACTCCACCAGAAAATCTTACATAATCCAAAATGGACCAAAAAACAGTTCAACCATGGTGAGTTTTTACAGAAAATTTTCAACCTTACATAGTTTTTTTCCAGGAATATGAAATAATTATACTACAATCATGCAGATTGTCTTACTTTTCGTTATACTGGCCATCATTTTCTCGTATCTCTACGCCAACTGAACAAATTTACAGTCAGGAAATAGTCTTATTTCTCCTTCCCCGTCCGGCATTTGCAGGATCGTGGTGTTATTGAACTTTTTTATGTATCTATAGATAAATTCTGATGGTATTATTCCAATATAGAACGTGTTATTGGTGTTCTCATAAATAAATTAAAGATCCTATTGGCATCTTGTATTTCTTACAATTAAACCCACTCTTAATTAAATCAAAATATGTTATAAAGACACGTGGATCTACCACCATTTGACACATTTTCATAGTGCCATTGCCACCTTTTGACATATGGCAAAAGGTGATAATATTTTTAGTCTTTTCTGACTACTTACTGCATTGATAGACTATCAGATAAGGGAGAATGACATTTTCCCACCCAAGGTTTGACGAAACAACAATTATCCACCCGCTAACTTTCAAAATGACACTTTCCCATCCTTCGTCAGATTCTGTTAATGTTTTTAGTTAATATTTGACTAAAAAGATGAAAATACCCTCAAATAGTTTTTTTCTTAATTAATTTATTATAAATTAAAATTTAGTTAAGACAAAATTTTTACTCTTGATTATTTATTAGTTCAAGTGTAAATATATATTTTTTCCTTTGTTTATTTAATTAATTAAGAATATTGATTTTATGTGTTAATTAGAAAAAATGAAAAATATTATAAATTTAGTGGGTTATTAAATAATAGTGATGAGATATTAATGATATTATAAATAAATAAATATTAAGGTTTTTTAATTTTAAACAATCTATTAGCATTATCCCTAACTGAGTAACTTTTTAGATAGGGTTAATTATTATTATTATTATTATTTACTTTTTAATATTTGGCTTTTTGACTAATTAAAAAATACTAAAAAATATATGAAGTCAAATATTTAAGGATATTTTTGTCTTTTTAGTAAAATATTAATGAAAAACATAACAAAACCTAACGAAGAGTAGAAAAGTGTTATTTTGAAACTTGAAAGGTGGGAAATTGTCGATTTGTCATACCTTTGGGTGGGAAAATGTCGTTCTCCCGTCAGATAAATCATATTCTTTTCGATATCTTTCATAGACCATAGTGAGACTTGTATTTTCTTGCCATCTTTTTCATATTTTGGTTTTTGTAAGTCAATTTTATGCTTTTAATGATATTCAATCTATTGTAAAAACTAAATTATACAAATAAACATGAGATAAAATCACATTGTTGCAAGTAATAAATTACAATACACATTACTTTCCTTTTATATAACATGTAACAGGTTTATAATAACTTCAATTAAACTACTTCTAGGTATTTACGGTTCGCTTGGGACTTTTAGACTTATATTACTCAAGGTCCTGAGTTCGACTTTACAACTACTAATAAGGGGTAACCACTAGAAGCTTACTTAGCCGTTAACTTCAAGGTCTCGGAGAACTAATTGAGGTATTCGTAAGATGGCCTGGATACCTGGATACAACCCAAAAAAAAAAACAAAAAAAACCTTCAATTTTGACTTAAAATTTTGGATACTAATAATTGACCATTAAATGAATTTAAGAAGGTAGTTGAAAGTAATTAATTTTTTTTGCTATTTCAACTACTTCTTAAATGGCTATTAATTAGTATAAAATATTTTAAAGTGAAAACTAAATAATTAAAGCTCACTCTTCTTTTACTTTAAGAGTCTTTAGACTATTGTGAGTGGACAACTCAGTCGGTAACTCGGCACTGCAATGAGTCGACTCGCTCTTGGTGCAGTGAGTCCAAACATGTCACTCATGTCAAGCTCGGTTGCCTTCATTCCATTTGGCAACTCCCAGTTGAAACAATGGAGCAAATGTGCCACAGAGAACTCCAAAGCATACAACCCGAGTTGCATACCCGGACATGATCTCCGACCCGACCCGAATGGGATATACTCAAAGTCTGTACCCTTAAAGTCTGGAGCACCCTCCCTCAAAAACCTACTGGGCTTAAATTCATCCGGGTCTTCCCATGCGGACGGGTCCTGCCCGATCGCGTATGCGTTGATCATGACACGAGATTTCGCCGGGATTTTGTACCCGGACACGACGGTCTCCTCGGCAGTCTCATGGAGGAGAAGTGGGATTGGTGGGTGAAGACGTAGGGTTTCCTTGATGGCACATTTGAGATAGGTGAGTTTCTCAAGATCGGATTCGTGGACAACCCGGTTCAACCCGACTTTATCAGCTAGTTCTTCCTGCACTTTTTGTAGTTCTTCCGGACTCTTCATCAACTCCGCCATTGCCCACTCAATTGCAGACGCCACAGTTTCGGTTCCTCCGAACATCACATCCTGTGAAAATTATGTGAAAGGAGTAAAAAATTTATTTATTTATAAAAAAAAAAAATAGTGAATAATAAATATTTACCATGATAATGGCTTTGATGTTATCTCTTGTGAGTTTAATTAAGTTGTTTGTCCCATCAAGATCTTCATTGTAAAACGCCATTAATTCATCAACCATGTCTGCATCTGCAGCTTCATCTTTCTCATCTTCACCATTCACATTCTTCTTCTTCTCTATATGTTCATCAATTATGATATCAATAAACCCATCGAGCGATTCTCGAGCTCTGGCGAGCCTCTTGTTGAATTCTTGTGCATGAATCCAACCCAGCCATGGAAAAAAATCAGCGATATTAAAAGCTCCAAAAAGCTTGGAAAATTCTTGCATAATCTTCACGAACTCATCTTGTCCTTCATGAGAAACCGACCCAAATGCAGCCCTGTAAATTACGTTCTTCGTCAGAGAAAACACCAACTCACCAATATTAACCTCTAAACCAGTTCTCTCCGTCACGGTTTTGACAGTTGCATCCACTTCTTCATGAATGGATGCCCAAGACTCGGCCCGTCGTCGACTGAAGAGCTTCATGACAGAAACTTTACGCATTTGGCGCCAAAAGGGTCCGTAATTTGCAAAAGCCATGTCAGCTCGATCGTATGTTAAGTAAGTTATTGCAATGTTTGCAGAGCGATTTGCAAATACGCTGTCTTGAACTTGAAGGACTTCTCTGGCCATTTCTGGAGTTGAAACTGCGACAAAATGGACAGATCCCATTTTGAGATGGAGCAGCCCTCCGTAGAGCTTGGCCAGGCGGGCGAGGCCACGGTGAGTCAGCTGGTCCATCATCATCATGTTGCCGATAATGGGATACCCTTTCGGGCCTGGCGGGTAAGGGAATTTTCTACGCGGATTTGTAAAGAAGAAGATGGTGATGAAGACTAATAAAGGAAGAGTACTGACGAATAAGAATGGAGAAGCCTGAAACATTTGCAGAAAACTATCCATGGCAGCTGCCTTCCCTCTCAATAGCATTATAAGAAAGGAAGAATTTCAATGGTTCTGTAAGCATGAAAGGTCTTATATATAGCATTATCGAAACAGTCATCTCCAACAAATCAAGCTCTGCAACGTCTGTTTATAGAAATGGCGGTTCCGCGAACAAATCAAGATCTCTAGAAGTCAATAGATTACTGTTGTTATCAACCATTGAAATTAAGGTAGGTTTGATTTTATAATATATGTGATTAAATAGGTTCCAGTTGGCTGCAATTATTATTTCTTCTCTATAAATATGAAAATCATACTTCTAACTAATCTGTACAAACAAATATTATAATTTTAATATTCCAAGTTTACAAGTAAATGATTTTGGTTTGCTATAGATGTTAATAATTTTATTTTATTTATGTTAAATAAATAAATAAATTATTTAATAACTAATCACTATATCTGCTACAATTATAATCAAATTTTTTTTTAGGTAACTTAGTATCCAGACCCACATTGGAGCCTGCCAATTATACACCAGATTTAACCTAAAATTTGAGCCACAAATTGAGATACAAATACAAATAGACAAGTATAGTCTTACAAAATGTTTTCAGATTCTTTTTTAGGTATCCAAACACATACTGGAGCCTGTCAATTATATATCGGATTTACCTTGAAATTTGAGCCACAAATTGAGATACAGATACTAATAGACAAGCATAGTCTTACAAAATGTTTTCAGAATTTTTTGTAGGGATCTAAGGTATCCAGATACACATTAGAGCCTGTCAATTATACATCGGATTTACCCTGAAATTTGAGCCACAAATTGAGATACGGATACTAATAGACAAGCATACTTTTACAAAATGTTTTTAGATATTTTTTAGGGATCTGAGGTATCTAGACACATATTGGAGCCTGTCAATTATACATCAGACTTACCCTGAAATTTGAACGACAAATTGAGATATGGATACAAATAGACAATACTTTTATAAAATGTTTTTATATTTTTCTAGGGATCTGAGGTATCCAGACATACATTGGAGCCTGCAATTGTACATCAGACTTACCCTGAAATTTGATCGACAAATTGAGATACAACTACAAATAGATAAGCATACTTTTAAAATTTTTTTTTTTTTTTTTTTTTTTTTTTAGGGATCTAAGGTATCCAGATACACAATGGAGTCTACTAATGATACATCAGATTTACCTTGAAATTTGAGCCACAAATTGAGATAAAAATCAAATATACAGCATACTTTTACAAAGTTCAGTTTTTTTTTTTTTTTTTTTTTAGATATTTGACTTTGGGTATCCAGACACAGTTGGAGTCTACCAATTATACATCATTTTACCCTAAAATTTGAGCCACAAATTGAGATACGATACAAATAGACAAGCATACTTTTACAAATGTTTCATAATTTGTTTAGTACTGAAGTATCCAGACCTATATTGGAAACCTACCAATTAGACATCATATTTACCCTGAAATTTGAGCCACAAATTGAGATACAGATACAAATAGACAAGCATATATACTTTTACAAAATGTATTTGTTTTCAATATCAAAATTAGATATGAATGTGATAAATTCATTGTTTCTTTGCATGTGGATATATGGTCAGCTGCCTACAACAGTTTTTCCACATAAAACCATGCATAAATAGTTTGGCCTAATTGATAGTGAAATCTTAATTGTTACAACTTCATTTAGGTAAGATTTACTTGTCACACATATATATAATAATGTGTGATTATTAATTATAATAATATAAATGAGTAATCTTGATTATAATACCGGAAACCCATATTATTATATTTTAAAATTTCAATTATTGTCTAATATTATAGTGCCACAACATCAGATGAAAATTTGAAATTGAAAAGCATTTTTTTTTTTTTTTTGGATCAAGAACAAGAAATATGGATAAACTCATAGCTAGATTTTTAGGGTTTTATAGATTTGGTCTTCATAATAATGGCCCATGATTAATTTGGTATATATTACAAGCATGCTTATGGGCTGCAATGATATTACGCTCTTTGCACGCTCACTTCTTAATAAAACCAAATTGATGCCATGTTGCATGACTTCTTTCTCGCTGGTGAAAGTAACTTAAATTAGAACCATTTGGTTTGTGGTCGGATTGCAAGACTGTAGGTTATCCAAAAGTTTTGTATTTGAGTCATACAACGTGGTCATATACCATATTTGTGACTTACCTGATATATTGGGTTTGAACGATGTTCGTTTATGTATCAGTATTGAGACTTACCTGGCCCATCAGGCTTATAGAGTGTTCGTTTATGTATCATTATTGTGACTTATCTGACCCATTGGGCTTGTAGAGTGGTCGTTTATGTATCAGTATTGTACTGATGATCAATGTGATATCGACACATAATCAACATATTTTAATAACTGAGATACATTTATGAAGATGAGTAAATAATAAATTATGTACGTAAATGGGGCACTAATAAAAAACTTATACCAGAATACGAATCATACAATATGTATAAATCTTTTTTTTTTTTTTTTTTTTTGCTGAAATGAATAGATATATTGAAATAGGGATAATAACAATGAGATCCCTAATGTTTAAATTAAGTAACACTTTGATCCTATAAAATCAGAGAGTAACACATTGAAATCTCTCAAACAAGGACTAAAGTGTTAGCCGAAACCGTAGGAACCCAACTAATTATCCATTAAATTGTGATGTTTTAATTAGGAAAGTTAATTTTACTTGTCCCTTGAGAGATAGTTGAATCTCAAACGCTTATTGATTCGGGAGATAGTTCAATCTCAAATACTAACCCCAAGGGATTGGTCTAGCGATCAAAGAAGTTTGCTCACTTCCTTAAGATCTTGGATTCAAACCTTGAGGCCACCTATCACATTCTGTCTTATCTGATCCTTTGGGCTTGTAGGATGTTCAATGGACCTAAGAGATTAATTGAGAAGAGCGCAAGCTGACCTAGACACTCCAGTTACCCAAAGAAAATCTCAAACACTTATCGGTTTTCGAATGTATTAAATGCATCACTGAAATAACCGTGAATGAAATTTATCCTATACTTAGAAGTTAGAAGGAATATTGGGGGAAGAATTCCGAAGGCAATATAAAGTCAATTCCACCACAAACATCACACTCAAAACGGGGAAGGCATGAGGAAAGTCACTCATAATAATGCAAATTTACTTGATCCTTTTGGGTTTGTAAGATGCTCAATAGACCTCAGGGATTAATTGAGAAGAGCGCAAGCTGACTCGCACACCCCAATTACCCAAAGAAAATCTCAAACACTTATCGATTTTCCAATGTATTAAATGCCTCACTGAAATAACCGTAAGTAAAATTTACCCTATACTTAGAAGTTAGAAGGAATATTGGGGGAAGAATTCCGAAGGCAATATAAAGCCAATTCCACCACAAACATCACACTCAAAACGGGGAAGGCATGAGGAAAGTCGCTCATAATAATGCAAATTTACCTGATCCTTTGGGCTTGTAGGATGTTCAATGGACCTCAGAGATTAATTGAGAAGAGTGCAAGCTGACTCGGATACCCCAGTTATGCAAAAAAAATCTCAAACAGTTATCGATTTTCGAATGTATTAAATGCCTCTCTGAAATAACTGTAAATGAAATTTACCCTATACTTAGAAGTTAGAAGGAATATAGGGGGAAGAATTCTGAGGGCAATATAAAGTCAATTCCACCACAAACATCACACTCAAAACGGGGAAGGCATGAGGAAAGTCGCTCATAATAATGCAAATTTACCTAATCCTTTGGGCTTGTAGAATGTTCAATGAATCTCAGAGATTAATTGAGAAGAATGCAAACTGACCCAGATACCCTAATTACACAAAAAAAATCTCAAACACTTATCGGTTTTCGAATGTATTAAATGCCTTTCTGAAATAACTGTAAATGAAATTTACCCTATACTTAGAAGTTAGAAGGACTATTGGGGCCTGGGGGAAGAATTCCGAGGGCAATATAAAGTCAATTCCACCACAAACATCACACTCAAAATGGGGAAGGCATGAGGAAAGTCACTAATAATACTGCAAATTTGCCCAAATTATGAAGGCAAGTAGTAAGTGACCACATAAAAAATCAAAATAGATGAGAATAAAATAAGGGCATGATCACCTTGACTTGATCCGTTGATCCTATTCCTAGTCTATGACACTTATCTGAGTATGAAAAACAAAGTCATCGCCCATTTAATCAATTCATCTATTAATTTAAAAAAAAACCTAAAGACATGACCTTTCGAGAATCGAGAGTTCATTTAATAACAAAAATCTTCTTAATATAACTGCCTCTACGTAATTTATCGCTTAAGATTCTTAGGTACATTATTCAAAAAAATTTGAGTTCAAATCCTCACAACTACTAACAAGGGATAGCCACTAGAGACTTATGTAACTATTAACTTCAGCATCTCGAAAGACTAATTGAGGTACATATAAGCTAGTTCGAATACCCCTGGATACCAATAAAAACAAATAATAATTTTGGGTCTGTTTAGTTTATTATTTCATATCCTATTCCCAAAATAACTGTTTGTTTAATTATTTAGGAAATACTATTATATTTTTTTAATTATTTTTAAACCCCTTAAGTTTATTAATTTCATTAAACACCCCTAAAAAAAGTTTAAAAATTAACAAAAACACCCCCACCAACCCATAGTTGTCAGATTCCTGCAACCACCGTTGGTGGTAGCCGGAATCTGTCACAACGGCCTACAAACGACCGGAACTGGTCAATAATTCGCTGTTGACAGCCAAATCTGGCTTCTTGTGGCCGTTGACGGCCAGATCAACGCACGTCCGGCCAGATCCGAACGGTCTACATCGTAACGCCGGATTTCGATCAGATTCTGATGATCATGGCCGAAATCTGGCATTGTGGGTGGGTGGGTGTGTTTTTGTCATCTTACAATTTTTTTATATATTGGGGTGTTTAGTTAAATTAGCAAACTTATAAGGTTTTTTTTGTTTATTTTTAAATTTTACCTTATAATAATAACCATATTCAACTATCCAATATTATTTCCAAAATCTTATCCAAAATAACAAACCAAACGAACCCTTATTATTACTGAACTATTGATTAGCCGTTAAAATTTATATCATTACGAATTAAATAAATATTTACCAAATTACCCTTATATCTTTTATTTGAGTATATCCAAACTGAGATATTTATTAATTGATTATACATACGTGAAGGGCAGTTGTGAAATAGCATTTGGAATTGCCTTGGGGGCTGTGGCTACTCCACAACACAACATTTGGTGCTTCTTTCTAACTTTCTCAAATCCAACCATAATTTTGATTGATTTATTTAATGCTTTACCTGACCCACAAAGTTTGGCTTTTTAACAACACCATCAACCCATTCAAAACTTTGTAAAACTGTTTTTGAACATTTCAAAGGCCCTCCTCCTCCTTGAAAGTAACAACAACACATTCCAAAAACAACCACTACTTTCCCATCCAATAAAATTTTGTGTAATTCAATGATCAAATTTAATGTCAATACCTCTATACATACGAAGATGATACGATAAATAAATCCATTAATTTTTTTTTTTTTTTTTTGGGTATCCAAAGGTATTCGGACTAACTTGTATATGCCTCAACTAGTTCTTCAAGGCTCTGAAATTAACAGTCAGGTAAGCCTCCAATAACTATCCCTTAATATAGTCATAGAGATTTGAACTCAGAACCTCTTGAATAATACACTCAATAGTTTCAAGCAAACCACCGAATAGTTTATACGTTACTTTCCTATAATTAATGTGATACCCACATATAAATAGATATAATTTCTAATATTTTTAATTAAATTAATATCTTNTATGAAAATTAGCTTATAAGCAACAAGTGCTTATAAGCTAATTTTAGCTTATAAGCATTTAAAATTTTAAGCAATTACGTGTTTGGTTAAAATACTTATAAGTGACTGATAAGTAATTGACGTGTTTGGTAAAATGTGGCTTATAAGTATATTTTATTATAAAATGACTAAAAAATGTACTACATTAAACAATGGTATACTAAGGAATTTTAAAAATAAACAAGGATAATGTGGTAATATATTTGGTCAAACTAGGTTATAAGCAGAGTACTTATAAGCCAAAAAAAAAAAAGTACCTCCCCCCAACTTATTTTTTTTGGCTTATAAGCTCAACTTATAAGCTCAAAAAAGTTATAAACAAACAGGTCAGCTTAATTTTAGAACTTATAAGCTAGTTTGACCAGTTTATAAGCTTAGACAAACACCCCCATAGTCGTAGAGATTTGAATTCAGGACCTCTTGAATAATACACTCAAGAGTTTCAAGCAAATCACCGAATAGTTTATACGTTACTTTCCTATAATTAATATGATACCTACATATAAATAGATATAATTTCTAATATTTTTAATTAAATTAATATCTTATATAGTGCTAATATAAAATGCTTTATCAAGAAACAAAATTAAAAAGAAAAAGATTCTAAAATTAGTACTATAAGTATTATACATTAAATTCTCTTCATTGGTCCTGCAAATAAATCGATAAATAGACTCTAAAAATACAACCAAAAAAAAAAGAAAGAAAGAGAAACCTCCCTACATTCCCGTGACATGCCTAACTAACTATAATTAACCTTAATCTTAGTCTTAATTGATTGATTAATTAGACCTACCAACCAAAACCAACCTTGGAACGGTTCAAACCGGTTTGAACCCACGGTTCATTTCCGCCTACTCCTACTCTAACCACCTTCAAAAACTCTGAACCATTTGGGTCAACCCCACCTCCGGTCCACTCGTTTCTTTCTTCTTCCTCATCTCCAACACTTTCCTATGGCTATTCGAGTGAATTTCCCCCGAAAAAGTCGGGCTACAAGCAGGCCGATATTCTGGGAACAGCCGGCCGGATTTGAACCGGACTCCGCATGCATTGCACAGCGTTTTGGGACCGAGGGGACCGGTTCGCCACTGGGGAGTCTTTTGTGTCTGGCAGTGGGTGCACCTCCGTTGAAATAATCCTCCGCCGCTTTGAACCGCGGTTTTCTTCTTCGGTTTCTTGGCTTCCGGTTCGGTAAAACTGTTACACCACTCCGTGTTTTGAACCGAGCTGGTGATGGTTGAGCCAGAAGAAGATGAAGAGGAAATTGGTGACTCAGAGAGTGGGGATGAACTCATTGACCAGACCCGGGTGGCGGGTCTGGGTCTTTTGGTTCTGGCTTTGGACGGAAATGATGCCGGAAAACATGGAGTTTGGTTCAAAACCGGTTTTATGACCGGTTCAAACCGGTATTCTCCATGATTGGGGTACAAAAGAGAGAGCTCTGAACGTGAAGAATCATCCACAAACCTGGAAACCCATTCAAGCTCTGCAATTTCATCCACCTGAAAAATACACAAAAAGGAATTTTATTTTAACTTTCTAACGTAAAATAAAAAAAAATTATTTTTAACATATAAAAAAAAAAAATGAACCATTTACCGGTTCAACGAGTTCATTGGTGAGAAGGGACTGATCAGAAGAAGAAAAAATGGAAGAGTTAGAGTTATTATCATCATCAACACGGTCTGGAGAATCAACAGAAAGGGAGTCTTTTACATCCTCAAATTCTTGAAATTCTCCGTTGGAAAAATCAAGAAGATCATCAACAGAAAAATCATCACACGAAACACAACCCAAATCATCAAACAAAACAACTTGTTGGTGGTGAACGTGGGTGGATTTCATGGAGAGTTCTCTACGTAAACTAGATTTCAAAGCTCGTTCAAATCCCATGCACAACTCCATGCTATGATGTCGAATACCACAAATTAAAATTAAAAAATAAAAATTACTTAAAAAGAAAGGATATATTTTCAGAGAAAAATTTCAAAGGTTGCGGAGAAAAAGAAGAAGAAGAAGATGGAGAGCAAAAATCAAGAGTTAGTTGAGAATGAAGCACTGATATGAAGGCTGGTTCGTGGGCGAAACTGGTGCGGAGTTAATGGCTTGTCTCCTCATTATCTACTACTTTTTACTTTATATATCTTTTATTTTTTATTTATTTATTTACTCATTTGAATTTGAATTATAACTGTAAATATACTGTAAATATTTATTTGATATAAATAAATAGAAAATCTGCATGGTTTTTTGTTAAGGGTTGACTGTTGAGGGAGTCTTGATAGGTTGGCTTTGTTTGGACCAAATCCATTTTCTACATTTTTATTTTCTCTATTCTTGACTAATATTATTCCAGGTTTAGTCTATTCCATCCAATGGGTGAAACAAACAAAAACAATTTACTTTATATTTTTATTTAACTGACTTTGAAATAAGACTTGGAACTAGAAGATTTAGAAAAAAAGAAAAAAAAAAATTCTAAAATCATTTCAATTTATGTTTTCATTATACTTTAGATAGGTTAAGGATCATCGGTTAATAATAATTTCTTCGTATTATTAGATAGAAAAATATTACATCCATAATTTCTTCTCATAACTCTGACGTGACAGCTGAAATTTATTAGGTGAAACTCATTATAAGCTGACCAATTATAAGCTATCATGTCAGAGTTATAGGAGAAAATTTGGGAAAAGACGACGTAAGTGTAACATTATTCTATTAGATATAAATTATACAATAGTTTTGACAAATTAATATCAGAATAAACCAACCCCTAGGTGGATGATTGGTCGAATTGAGACTTTTGGTTGTATTATCCTGAGTTGTTAATATGAATAACCACTGGATGATTACTTAAACATTAAATTTAAGACTTAAAAAAATTAGTTGAGGTACGTATAAACTAATCCGAACATCCTCGGTTACCAATACAATTTTATTAGAGCCTTTATTATCACATTAATATTATCGAAAGCGAATTATATGTCACAAAAATATCTATGTCGCTAATCAAATTAATAGTTAACATAGATGAAAGAGACACTAAAAATCGATTTGTGGATTACACAAATTGAATCGATTTTTTTTTTTTAATAATTAAATCACAATATTTTACCTATGGTTTAACATATATTGTACTTTCATTTAATGTTCTTTTAAAGGAAGTGAGGAACCTTCCTAAGTTGGATTAATTTATAAAAAAAAAAAAATATTTAAATTTTAAAAATTCAAAATTTGAAGTACGAGCCCGGTCTGAATTTCACTGTCGCACACTCACTACCCCTTTCGTTGATTTGTGCGTGTGAAATCAGAGGGTCCCACTAAAGCGGACTCATTAGAAGAGTCCATGAGAATTAACGGAGAGATGGCGCTAAGATTATTCAAAAGTTAACCGAGCACGAAACCGCCGCCAATTTTTTTTTCTTTTTTTTTTTAAATTTAAACTTTTCTTCTTTTTGATATTCCAAAACTAACCCTCAAAGTTCCGTTAAATTACAAAAAATTATATTACTTGACCGCGTTAATCTCGCCACAATTTCTGACTAATCCTCCATGTCCATTCCAGCTCCTGTCTTTGTAACTGTAGAAAACCATCTCCACTCTCTACGACTTTTGCGTACAAAATCGAACGGCCAGAAATTTAATCTTTCGATGAATCCAACGCTGGTTGGTTAGGCAAGGAGTGGACCAAGCCATCAAAGCGCGTAGGTAAGAGTTTGGTATGGTTTGATGACGCGGTATGAAATCTTACAGCTAAGTGCTCCACGTAATGGAGCATGCTAATCGTGTTGCAGTGGGAATTCATGGCCTGGCTGGACACAAATACAAATTACTTTATGAGTAAATTATATTAATTTTAGTTCAATAATTAAATGATTAGTTTCTGTCCTTTCATTGCTTAACGTTTCAAATTCCTTGATGCTTAACATTCATTAGTTGACCTACCATATTAATCTATTTTAGTTTTTAACAAATTTTTCTTACCAGATTTGATAACGGGTCAGTAGAACTTACTCCCAAAAATTAGTTGAAAAGAGAAAAAGGAATCAGTCATTTATATATACACCGTAATAGTCACTAAATTGATGATATTTAACAAACACAAATTCTAAGTTTCTACCACCCTCCCCACGCTTGATGTGCATGCTTAGGTAGGCATGAAAATCGAGTCAAGCCGCTCATGCTTGTGCTCGGCTCGGGCTCGTTTAGTTGAGCACGAGCTCGAATACTAATTCGAGTCGAGTTCGATCATGGTACAACTCGACTCGAAAAGCTCTGTTGAACTTGATTAGAACTTGATTAAAGCTAGATTATACAAGCTCGAATTCTAATTTCAGGTACTGAGTTTGAGTTCGAGCACGATTCCTCAAGCTCGGTCAGACTCGAATTCAAACTTAAATTCGGTATTGTAGCAATTGAGTCGAGTTTGAGTAGCTAGATACTTGACTTGATTTCATCCCTACGCCCATGGTCCAAATCCACTAGGGCCCACCACCGCCACGAGCAAAGGCGGTTCTGAATTTTCTGATACCATGATAAACAACTTTGATATAACTCACTCCCAAAAGTAATTAAAGAAAGTAAGGAGTCCAACCACATATATATACACCATAACAATATTATTTCTAAGACACCGTTTAATATAATTATGGATTAATTTTCACATTAAAAATTCTTATTAAAAGTTAGTTTTTGTCTAGAGCCTAAAATCTCTTTCAGCCGGCTCTATAGATAGAATCCATGGAAGCTTAATTTCCAACTCAATAATGGGTCTATTAGGAGTTATAATATGATGAAGGTGATTAGAAAATTAAGATTAAATATATTAATGTGAAGTAAATTTATTTAGTGTAGGACCTCTCTAATTGCTATAAGGCTGGAAAATACAAGCTTAAATTATGGGTCCACTTAAATTTTAATTAACACAAGTTGCCTATGTTGTATTATTTATGTAATAATCGTATGTTAAATAATTATAATGTAAAGTTGCCTTTGTTGTATTATTTATGTAATAATCTTATGTTAAATAATTATAATGCAAAGTTCTATAGAGTGCGTTTGTTTTGTTATTTTGGATAGGATTTTGAGAATAATATTGGGTAGTTGAATAGAGTGAGTATTACGATGTAAAATTTAAAAATTAACAAAAAAGCCTCATAGGTTTGCTAATTTAACTAAACACCCTAATATATAAATTTTTTGTAAAATGAAAAAAACACCCCCACCCACCCACCCACAGTGCCAGATTCCGGCTACCACCGCTGGAATCTGGTTGGAAAATAGCGTTACGACGTAAACCGGTTAGATCTGATCGGTCGTAAGTCGATATAGCCTTTTCTAGAAAAGGCCAGATCTAGCCGTCGACGGTCATTTCTTTGGCCGTCGTTGACGACCAGATCTGGCCTTTTCCGGCCAAATCCACTATGGATCTGACTAGAAAAGGCTAGATCGGTGAATTACCAGCCAATTCTAGTCGTTTCTACACTGTTGTGACAGATTCCGACAATCGCTGATGGTGGTTGTCAGAATTTGGCAACTACCGATGGATGAGGGTGTTTTTGTTAATTTTTAATTTTTTTTTTTCCAAGAGTGTTTAATTAAATTAATAAACTTAAGGGGTATACAAGTAATTAAAAAAATATAATAGTATTTCCCAAATAATTAAACAAACATGTATTTTGGGAATAGGATAGGGAATAATCTGACGACCAGATCTGGCCTTTCCCTGCCAAATCCACTGTGATCTGACTGGAAAATGCTAGATCGACGAATTACCGGCCAATTCTAGTCCTTTCTACACCGTTGTGACAGATTTCGACAATCGTCGATGGTGGTTGCTAGAATTTGGCAATTACGGGTGGATGAGGGTGTTTTTGTTAATTTTTAAACTTTTTTTTCCAAGAGTGTTTAATTAAATTAATAAACTTAAGGGGTCTAAAAGTAATTAAAAAAATATAATAGTATTTCCCAAATAATTAAACAAACATGTATTTTGGGAATAGGATAGGGAATGTGCGTTTGGTTTATTATTTTCGATATGATTTTGGGGATAGTATTGGGTTGTTGGATAGAGGAGTATTACGAGATAAACTTTAAAAATTTATGCCCTTAGGTTTACTAATTTAATTAAAGTCCCTAATATATAAAATGATAAAAACACCCCCACCACCTGCAGTGCCAGATTCCAGCCACCACCATCGGAATCTGACCGAAAAATTTCGTTACAACACATACCGGTCGGATCTGTGTCGTAACGCGTCATTATGGCCTTTTCAGGCCAGATCTACGAATTACTGTGGTTGCGACGGCCGAAAAAGGTTGAAACGACGATCAAAGCAGCGACGGCCAAAGATATGGTCGTCGTTGTCTGTCAATGATGACCATTTCTTTGGCCGTCGTTGACGGCAGATCTGGCCATTACTGGCTATTTTTGATGGCTGTGTGACTATTGTGATAGATTCCGCGGTGGTTGCCAGAATCTGGTAGGTATTGGTAGGTGGGGGTATTTTTATTAGTTTTTAAACTTTTTTCTAGGGGGTATTTAATGAAATTAATAAACTTATAGGAACTCAATGTAATTAAAAAAATAGACTAATATTTTGGGAATAACATGCCAAACAATATTTGAAAAATATGATTGAGAATATGAATAAAAACAATAAGCTAAACGCAACAATCACACCCTATGTTTTCTTTTTCACTTCTCCAAATAAAGGAAAAAAAAATCTCTTTCTCTTTCTTCTAGAAATATTAAAGCTGTTTTGAGATTATAACAATGCAACAAGTCAATAATGACAACTAAACTAACTTTTGAGTTCTAACTAAGGCTATTAATTTATTGTATCACTTTAATTTTCACCACAAAATTTAATTTACACGTATTTAAGGATAATTATGTATGCGTTTGGTTTAATATTTTTATCCCTATTCTGGATCCTATTTTTCAAATCGCGTTTGGTACAATATTCTCAAAATATTACCCTATTTTTTTTAATTACATTTTAACCCCATAAGGTTATTAATTTCACTAAATACCCCCTGAAAAAAAAGTTTAAAATTAACAAAAACACCCCCATCAACCCAACTTGTCAGATTCCGGCAACCACCGTCGGTG